AAGAGCGATGGCCTCCAACCTAAGAGCGGTGGCCACCAACCTAGAAGTGCGAAGCATATGACCCCAAAAAGAAGGGAATCCTAGGGGCCCATACACCTCAAAAATCAAACATAGGAACAAAACATGGATCCATCTCCCACCCTCCAAGACACTCGGACCTTTTTCTTCTTTCCACATGATGTGCATGGTCCGTGCATGGCCTTGAGCCATGAGGCAACGAAAGCTCGAGGGATACGGCTGTATCCGGCAACGAAATGCATCGAATGGCGTCGAATGCATGGTACCTGACGTCAGGAAGAAAGAATAGGTTTACCTAGGTGGTCCTCTACACTCACCTGGTTCACTGGTGGTGAATTAGCTCGACATGGATCACAGTCCTCAGGGTTACAGATTTCCACACCCCCTTTCGAGATAATTCCAGTGCTCTACACATTGAAAGCTTAGCTGTGCACCGTCGAGGAGGCGGTCTTCCAACCTGCTGGGAAAGCGTTCAATGGAACAAAAAAGAACGAATGCTCTGCATTTGTGGGAAATGTGGACAACTAGTTCGATGAGAATCCGAAAAAATCACAATTTTCCTCTTCTTCTACCGAGTGCTGTGGGAGCTCGACTCAACCACAAAAAATCACTTTCATCAGCTTCCGACGATATCATTTATCGGTGGATGGGATACAAAAAGGACACGGGGTCTTATACTGTACTCCAGCAAAGTTTGGAATCATCGTGCATCGGGTCTTGGTCGAGTGAAGTACCCCTTCAATGGCTGCCAAATGCTCCTTCTTCGGCCACGAGGTCGGCGTGCATTGTGGCATCCTTGAGGCGGTCACGAATCACCTGGCAATCGCCAAGATGGAAGGCTTTTCCAGACTTCGTTGTGAAGTAATCTCGTACTTGATCCACCACGGGTGGCTCTGGAACAGAAGCATCAGTGATCTGAGCTGGAACATCATTTGGAGGAGCTGGATCTCTTGCGTCGTGTGAGGAGCTTGGACCAGCGACAAAGGCAGGATCTTCAGCTTCACGCGCATCAGAGGTTGCTCCCGACTTTCCTTTCCTCAAGCGCTTTGCTAGATGCATGCGCTTCTTTGCGCTCATTGGAACATGCAAGCTCTCCTCTGCGACTTCATCATCAAAGGAGGAACCAGCACTTTCCGACGACTTACGCTGTCGCTTCGGCATCATGCAACAGCATGCGGCCAAAAACATGAAGCATTGCATCACAAACATGGCGAGGACAATCAGTTCAAGCATCTGTTCACGAGATATTTCTCTTTGAGCAAAAGATCTATCAATTATAAAGTCGCTCCAAAGCTACTGGCATGCTCAAACTCGATTGGAAACCCTTGCAGCTTACCGACGGTGTACAAAATAGCTGGTGGCTCCCAAGTTGGGTGGTACATTACGTACCCGGACCCCGCCTTCGGCGTGTAGGTCTGATGGATCGATCGAATGGCCTCCATAAGGACATTGACCAACAATTCTGGATATCTTCCAGTCTTACGCCGTTGTGACGCATTAAAGCTCTCATGCGAAGAATGCTCACATTCAGTGAAAGGGCGCAAACATTGAATGGCACCTGGATGCGTGCTGATGAACAAAAAGCTCTTTGCCACACGGGGTCCTCCACAAGCACATAACTTTGGCATGTTACAAAAGATGGGGACGCCACAGTGTGTGATAAAATCTTTCATGACTTCGGTCTTCCAATACGTGCTCCGTTTGGGCAACTCGAAGGTCCACAAACTGCAAAGCTTGAGAATCGGTTTGCATTGCGCAAGCAGTGCAAAAAACTTCTCAGCATGTTCACTCTTCAAAGCCTCATTGTCCGAGAGGTTTTGTAAAGAGCTTCCTCCTGTGCACGGCAAAGAGATATGGATATATGAGAACCTATTTGGTGCTCTGTGATGTGCACTCAACGTGCGAATAGTCTGATCTTGGAATTCCTCCAATGGCGAAGATTCGGTGCAACGCACGATCAAAGCTCCATAGGGGAATGCCTGGATGGCAACGTTTGCCAAATTGCTGTTTGGATAGCAACAAATTTCAAAAATCAAGATCTCATAGCTAGATACCACATCTACGAGACTAGAAGCTTCAATGATGGCACTCTGGGTCAACGACAGGACGGAACCATTAGTTCGGTCCTCGCTCTCAGATTCAACAACATTTGTCGTTTGGACGCTCTGGGACACAAGTGGTCTCGATTTCAACATTGAAGACAATTTGCTGGCATTCTTGCGACTGGATGAGGTTGCCACTGCTGTTCCGTGAACTGCTGGGTCTGTTTCATCTTCCTCCAAGAATCCCATGGAAACTCTAAATTGACTAGACAACTTGACCCCAAGGTCTTTGTTAAGATGTCGGCCACTTGCCATTTGCCATCAACCCACACAAGTTTTACAAGTCCACGTTTCACTAAATCTTGACAAAAACAAATACGACGTTCTACGTGACGAGATCGCCTCTGCAATCCGGAGGCTTGCAGGACTCGAATGGCGGCTTGTGAGTCAGTCCTGATTTCGACAGGGATTACAGCATCATCCTTGTTGATACCAAACAAATGGATGAACAATTTGTTGAAAGTGACAGCTGAACACATAGAATCAATTAGGCCTTCAACATGAGCTTGCGTACTGAGATGTTCGGCCAGTCGGTTTAGGCCTACAGATTCTTGAACACACTCTGCAATTGCTGAGAGTTCAGCTTCACATGAGCTGGTGGCTACAATGCTCTGGATTCGGCTGAATGCTTTAACTAAACTACCTTTGTAGAATGCTGCCATGCCTGAAATCGATCTTCTCTTCAGACTCCGAAGGGGAGCCCAGGAAGCGTCACTGT